CCGGGCTTTCTAGGCTCACAGGAAATGGACAGTAGACCTGATTTATCCCTGCTTCAGGCCAGTAACACCTGCTGGTCTTGCCCCTCTTCCAGCCTGTTAGTGAATAGTGAAAGGAGAAGCAGCAGACTGATGGGCTCATCTCTCTGTCACTCTTCTCTCTCCTCCTATCAGCATGTCCCTTGTTGGCACTGCTGCATAGCTGATTGGCTCACTGTTCTCCCTCTCCCAGTCTGAGCTTTTATGTACAGTTACTGTAATAGATTGATGCCAGGTCACACTCAGGTACTCGCACTGCTTCCAAAACACATTTAATGATGTTGTAGGGAATACAGAGCTGCTGTCATTTGTGTCTTTTCTATCTGCCTGGAGTTCAGCTTTAATAGATGTTTTCTATTATTTTGGGGTTTAGGGTGAAGAACGGATTAATATAAAAGAGGAAGAAGAGGAGACGTATGTGGGGGGTGATCAGCCGTCCACGGAGGAGGTTGGGATGCTGATGAAGAGTGAACAGGAAGAAATCTCTCTACCTTTCAACACAGGTAAGTACAGGCACTGTGGAAGAAACGGGTCACAGTCTCATTTTACTTCTGAAGATTGTAGTTTTAAGGAAAAATGGTAGATAATCAACGGTGGTGGCCAGTGGTGAAGGTTCTGTAGGTTGGTGTAGCTTGGCACTAGGAGAACATTGCTGAGCGGCTGGGTTCCCTAACTTAGGGCCCACTGCAGAACAGAAACCTCCTAGAGACTGTGCCTGGAACCACAATGTGCGAGACCTCACACGTAAAGTGGTTGCCATCATTGCCTTTGGGTTGGATGTGGTGATGTGTACAGAGCACAGTTTTTCAAACACTATGGAAGAAACAGTGGTTTTTGGGCGTTTTATATCCTTTAACTGGTTTGTTTTTATATTTTGATGTTACCATTGTACCCAGTTCCATGCCAGAGCTCCATATATGTCCATATATGGTCTGCAAATTCTTTATAATTCAAAATCCAGACAAATACAGCCAATCCCAGGTAGCAATGAACCATTCATGAATTTCGGCCTCAGCCATAGGTATGTCATATTAACCACTTCCAGTCCGGACACTTATACCCCCTTCCTGTCCAGGCCAATTTTCAGCTTTCAGCGCTATCACACTTTGAATGACAATTGCACGGTCATGCAACACTGTACCCATATGAATTTTGGTGGTATTTATTCACCACTAGGATTTTTATTTTTTTTTGCTATGTAAATGAAAAAGTCCAAACATTTTGAAAAAAAGTGTGTTTCTTATAAAATTTTGCAAATAAATAATATTGCATTATAAATCTTGGCCAAAATGTATTCCGTTATCTTTTTAGTAAAAAAAAAAAAAAGAACCCAAATTATTTTATAACCAAAAATTATAATTTTTAAACCTTTTTTTTTACATTTTTATTTTATTTTTTTATATTATTTATTTATTTATTTTATTTTTTTACATACTGTCACCCTAGCAGCACAGTGTCACCATGGTGACACTACTACTTCTGGGGGGTGATGAAGATTTTTTTTTTTTACACTGATTGCTTTTACGCCCATAAAGGCTGTAAAAGCAATAATTTCTCCTCTCTGGCTGCATTCCTGCAGCCATTGAGAAATACTGTGAGTGCCGTGATTGGTCACAGCTTGTCACATGTTACAAGGCTGTTGTGAATAGCCCTGTACCATGTGACCTCTGTGATCATTCAGATTTCACACGTAGTAAGCAATGATGTCAGAAGTGACATCTTGCTTACTACTCTGCATGTGATCACTGATTGGCCAGTCAGTGATCACATGATCGGGACCTCATACAGAGGTCCCGTACAGAGATCGGTGTTCCTCTGTGTCCGAAAGACACAGCGAGCACTGGATCATGGTCCTGCACGCTCCCAGGGAGCGCGCACAAGCAGGGAGCGGAGAGGACGTTTATAAACGGCCACCCAACCCTTCACTGCCACCGTCCGGCCGTTTATATACATGGGCTGGACGGGAAGTGGTTAAAGAATATGCATGCCTGGGCTTTTTTTGGCCGGATCGTGGCGGAACGGAGTTCTGCCACCTCCGGCATTGGCCCTGTGCACACTGATGCCTACCATCACTTATAAACGCAGAAGTGTGGCTCCTGTGGCCTCTCAGCCACTGCCTCCTGCAGAACCTCCCTGCCACTGGACTCACTGCTGGAAAAGGGAGGAACATCCATGTTTCGGGCGCCGCGTGTTTATGGGCTGGGCGTTGCATCTTGTGCTGCGGCCTGGTGCGCGGATGTTGACGTCCCAGCTGGATGCTCTTTCTAGCCAGTAGGGGGAGAAGTGGAGCCGTAAGTGAGTGCACTCTTTGCGCTGTGTGGGAAGATGAGACCCGCAGTGGGAGGTAGTATATAGCGGGGTCGGCTGCTGGCAGTTTTCTTTTTTTTGCAGAGGAAGCAAACCAGATGAGGGCAGTGCCAGTGGAGGGAGAGGAGCGGGGTGTAAAGGTGACGGCTGTGGGGGTGCAGAGGTGAGAAGAGACAGGGTGCAGAGGTGAGCCAGAGATGGGGTGCAGAGGTGAGCTAGAGACAGGGTGCAGAGTTGAGAGACAAGGCACAGAGGTGAGCCACAGATGGGGTGCAGAGGTGAGCCACAGACAGGGTGCAGAGGTGAGCCAGAGACAGGGTGCAGAGGTGAGCCAGAGACAGGGTGCAGAGGTGAGCCAGAGACAGGGTGCAGGGGTGAGCCAGAGACAGGGTGCAGAGGTGAGCCAGAGACAGGGTGCAGAGGTGAGCCACAGACGGGGTGCAGAGGTGAGCCACAGACGGGGTGCAGAGGTGAGCCACAGACGGGGTGCAGAGGTGAGCCACAGACGGGGTGCAGAGGTGAGCCAGAGACAGGGTGCAGATGTGAGCCAGAGACAGGGTGCAGAGGTAAGCCACAGACGGGGTGCACAGGTGAGCCACAGATGGTATGCAGAGGTGAGCCACAGGCGGGGTGCAGAGGGGAGCCAGAGACAGGGTGCAGAGGTGAGCCACAGATGGGGTGCAGAGGGGAGCCAGAGATGGGGTGCAGAGGTAAGCCACAGACGGGGTGCAGAGGTGAGTTACAGACAGGGCACAGAGGTGAGTTACAGACGGGGTGCAGAGGGGAGCCAGAGATGGGGTGCAGAGGTGAGTCACAGACAGGGTGCAGAGGGGAGCCAAAGATGGGGTGCAGAGGTGAGCCACAGATGGGGTGCAGAGGTGATAAAATACAGTGGAGGGTAATGGGTGTAGCCAGGGGGGGCAGTTACTGGAAAAACCGATCCTCTGACATGGTGTAGAGGTGAGCCACAGGCAGGGTGCAGAGTTGATCAGAGATAGGGTGTAGAGGTGAGCCACAGACAAGATGAAAAGGTGAGCCAGAGATGGGGGGCAGAGGTGAGCCACAAACTGGGTGCATAGGTGAGCTGCGGACTGGATGTAGATGTGAGCCAGAGACATGGTGCAGAGGTGAGCCAGAGATATGGTGCAGAGGTGAGCCAGAGACGGGTTGCAGAGGTGAGCCAGAGACGGGTTGCAGAGATGAGCCAGAGACGGGGTGCAGAGGTGAGCCAGAGACGGGGTGCAGAGGTGAGCCAGAGACGGGGTGCAGAGGTGATCCAGAGACGGGGTGCAGAGGTGATCAAGAGACGGGGTGCAGAGGTGAGCAGAGACAGGGTGCAGAAATGAGCAGAGACGGGGTGCAGAAGTGGCCAGAGATGGTGTGCAGAGGTAAGCTGCAGGCAGGGTGTAGAGGTGAGCTGCAGACAGGGTGTAGAGGTGAGCCAGAGATGAGCTGAAGAGCTGAGCAAAAGACGGGGTGTAGAGGTAAGCCACGGACAGGGTGCAGAGGTGAGCCAGAGAGAAGCTGCAGAGGTGAGCCAGAGACGGACTGCAGAGATGAGTTGCAGGCGGGGTGCAGAAGTGAGCAGAGACAGAGTGCAGAGGTGAGACAGAGACAGGGGGCAGAGATGAGACACAGCCGGGGTCCAGAGGTGAGCTTTGGACGAGGTTGAAGAGGTGGGGTGCAGAGGTGAACTGTGGACAGTGGGGTGCAGAGGTGAGCTTTGTATTTTGGGGTGCAGAGGTGAGCTTTGGACAGGGGAAGAGGTGAATTGTGGACAGTGGGGCATATTGATGAGCTGCAGACAGGAGGTGCAGAGGTGATCTGGGGACAAGGGTTGCAGAGGCGAATGGTGGGTGTTGCTTGTTTAGGGGGGAAAGTTTTCGCTGGAGAAAATATTTACTTGGTGGGAAGAGACAGCTGGTCAGTGGTCAAGAGTATATAATGCAGCCTGACAATTCTTTAGAGGGGGGAATTTGGTGGAAGAGCCCCATACAGGGGGGGTTGGGGAGAATTTTGAGGCAGGTCACTCCTGAACCCTGCACTTTGTGCGTAGCACACTTCTTGACCCTGCATTCTGTGTGTGATGCAATCATGGTTTTAGTTATTTCTTTTATTTCTTTCCATCAGATGGATGTGATGCCAGGAATCCCTCGGATGGGCCTCTTGTATTATTATTATATTACAGTAATGCTATCACACAGGATTCTCCAGGAGTGAATCCAAATACACCCAATATCCATCACAGACCTTCCTGTCCGGAGACATCAATGGATCCCTCTGATCAGGGGGAATCTTCTGACCAATCACATACTAGGAGTGCAAATGTCCATTTAGGATCTCATACTGCAGAGAGATCAACAGATCCATCTAATCCCAAGGAATTTTCCTCACCCCATGAAGGAGCTCACCGAGGGGACAATCTAGTCTCATGTTCAGAGTGCGAGAAACGTACTATTTATAAAGGAGATCTTGTTAAACACAAGAAATTTCACATGGGTGACCATCCCTATTCATGTTCAGAGTGTTGGAAATCTTTCCATGAGAAACACGATCTTGCTAGACACCAGAGAATTTACAAGGGTGAGCGTCTCTATACCTGTTCAGAGTGTGGGAAATTTTTCACTCACAGAGGAGAACTTGCTGAACATCAGAGAATGCACACAATTGAGAATCCCTATTCATGTTCAGAGTGCGGGAAATCTTTCTCTCACAAAGGAATGCTTGTGACACACCAAAGATTTCACACAGGTGAACGTCCCTATTCATGTTCGGAGTGCGGGACATCTTTCACTCAAAAAGGAAACCTTATTAGACACCAGAGAATTCACACGGGTGAGCGTCCCTATTCCTGTTCAGAGTGCGGTAAATCTTTCATTAAGAAAAATCATCTTGAAACACATCAGAGAATTCACACGGGTGAGCGTCCCTATGCATGTTCAGAGTGTGGGAAATCTTTCAATCATAAAGGAGACCTTGTTAGACACCAAAGAACTCACACGGGTGAGCGTCCTTATTCATGTTCAGAGTGCGGGAATTGTTTCACTCAGAAAGCAGGCCTTGATGCACACCGGAGAATTCACATGAGTGAGTGGCCTTTTAAATGTTCAGATTGTGGTAAATCCTATACTCGGAAAGCAGGACTCCTTACACACCTGAGAATTCACATGGGTGATCGGCCTTCGTCATGTTCACAATGAAGGAAATCTTTCCATAAATAGAAACCGAAAATATAGTGTAGTGTGGATGGTGGGGGGAGAGCTGTCAGAGAATGTAGTGTGGATGGTGGGAGGAGAGCTGTCAGAGAATGTAGTGTGGATGGTGGGAGGAGAGCTGTCAGAGAATGTAGTGTGGATGGTGGGGGGAGAGCTGTCAGAGAATGTAGTGTGGATGGTGGAAGGAGAGCTGTCAGAGAATGTAGTGTGGATGGTGGGAGGAGAAGAGCTGTCAGAGAATGTAGTGTGGATGGGGGGGAGAGCTGTCACAGAATGTAGTGTGGATGGGGGGGGAGAACTGTCACAGAATGTAGTGTGGATGGTGGGAGGAGACCTGTCAGACAATGTAGTGTGGATGGTGGAGGAGAGCTGTCAGAGAATATAGTGTGGATGGGGGGAGGAGAGCTGTCAGAGAATGTAGTGTGGATGGTGGAGGAGAGCTGACAGAGAATGTAGTGTGGATGGTGGGGGAGAGCTGTCAGTGAATGTAGTGTGGATGGTGGAGGAGAGCTGTCAGAGAATGTAGTGTGGATGGTGGGGGGAGGAGAGCTGTCAGAGAATGTAGTGTGGATGGGGGAGGAGAGCTGTCAGAGAATGTAGTGTGGATGGTGGGGGGAGGAGAGCTGTAAGAGAATGTAGTGTGGATGGTGGAGGAGAGCTGTCAGAGAATGTAGTGTGGATGGTGGAGGAGAGCTGTCAGAGAATGTAGTGTGGATGGTGGAGGAGAGCTGTCAGAGAATGTAGTGTGGATGGTGGAGGAGAGCTGTCAGAGAATGTAGTGTGGATGGTGGAGGAGAGCTGTCAGAGAATGTAGTGTGGATGGTGGGGTGGAGGAGAGCTGTCAGAGAATGTAGTGGATGGTGGAGGAGAGCTGTCAGAGAATGTAGTGTGGATGGTGGGGGGAGGAGAGCTGTCAGAGAATATAGTGTGGATGGTGGGAGGAGAGCTGACAGAGAATGTAGTGTGGATGGTGGGTGGAGGAGAGCTGTCAGAGAATGTAGTGTGGATGGAGGTGGAGGAGAGCTGTCAGAGAATGTAGTGTGGATGGTGGGGTGGAGGAGAGCTGTCAGAGAATGTAGTGTGGATGGTGGGGGGAGGAGAGCTGTCAGAGAATGTAGTGTGGATGGTAGAAGGAGGAGAGCTGTCAGAGAATGTAGTGTGGATGGTGGGGGGAGGAGAGCTGTCAGAGAATGTAGTGTGGATGGTGGAAGGAGGAGAGCTGTCAGAGAATATAGCGTGGATGGTGGGAGGAGAGCTGACAGAGAATGTAGTGTGGATGGTGGGGGGAGGAGAGCTGTCAGAGAATATAGTGTGGATGGTGGGAGGAGAGCTGTCAGAGAATGTAGTGTGGATGATGGAGGAGAGCTGTCAGAGAATGTAGTATGGATGGTGGGGGGAGGAGAGCTGTCAGAGAATGTAGTGTGGATGGTGGAGGAGAGCTGTCAGAGATTGTAGTGTGGATGGTGGAGGAGAGCTGCTGTCAGAGAATGTAGTGTGGATGGTGGGGGGGGAGAGCTGTCAAAGAATGTAGTGTGGATGGTGGGGGGAGGAGAGCTGTCAGAGAATGTAGGGTGGATGGTGGAGGAGAGCTGTCAGAGAATGTAGTGTGGATAGAGGATGCTTTCTGAAAATGTAGTACAGACATTGAGACCAGAGATACAACACGGGTGCAGAGAGTGTTCAGTGATGTGGACAATGCTGATGGAGCAATGTATGGTGGGATACTGATAGTAAAAGAATGTCCCAACCAGGGTGTTGTTTTTATTGAGGACACTCTGTGTACGTCAAATACATTGTATTGCTATGTAAAAATCCAGAAGAAACTGAATCTGAAAAGTTCTACATCTGTTTTGCTAACACATTCATTCCTGGTGATCGATTCCTACAGATCGGTAGGTCGGGTGTAGGCCTGAGTTATATGTAAAAAAATTAAGGTGTAATTGTTCAGAGCCACAAGAAGGAGGAATAGAAGAGATTTGTTGGGCTGTATGTACTCTTCTTTATCTAGGTTGAACTGGATGGACTGTAGGATGCAATGTCGGAGGGAGAGAGTAGGCAGATTTCATCTTGATTAAAAATTGTCTGTTTCCCTGGATTGAAGATTTGCAGCACACTTTTTTTAAACCATTCTTGGATAGTCTGCCATTTCTCCAGAGAGGACAAGCACGTTGCACTTCGAAATAAAAAAGTAATGTGTTTTATTAGGAGACTGAAGATGGAAAAATGGCACCACAGATATTTAGCGTATATGGACAGGCTCCATCAATATTAAGATTTCCTTTGGCAGGCCACAATTTCCTAGGGATTGAACAGGCATACTGCATCTGGAAAGTTAAAAAAAAAAAAGAGTGCCAGTTGTTTCAAATGTAAAAAGAAAACTTTCACACATTTTTAGCACACCAAAAATTACAAAGCAAAAAAAATTTGTATTTGTTAGACTAGGACTGGAAACATTTCACGGTTTTTGCACCACAGCAACGAATGTTTTTTTTTTGCACAGGCTGCAATTTCTTCGGCGTGTTTCTTGAGCAGACTGTTTGTATCCGTAAAGAAATAAAATGTCTATTTGTTTAAAATGTAAAAGAAAAAAAAAGTTCACAGATTTCAGAAGTGATTGCAGCTGTATTAGTGCACTTGCGACAGAAACAATTGAGAACTGTGTGTGATACTTTTTTTTTTTTTTTCATTTGCACTAACATACAATTTTCAGAACAACCTTTCAGGGTATGTCCCCTTCTTCAAGGTCCAAGCAGTGGACTGCTTGGACCTTGAAGAAGGGGACATGTCCTGAAAATTGTATGTTAGCGCAAATAAAAAAAAAAAAGTATCACTCCTAGATTGTAAACTCCCAGGATCAGGGCCCTCCTAACCCTCCTGTATTGAACTATATTGTTGCTGTATTGTCTCCCATTATATTGTAAAGCGCTGAGCAAACTGTTGGTGCAATATAAATCCTGTATAATAATAATTAAAGTATCACGGACAGTGCTCCATTGTTTCTGACAGATTTACAGGACATGCTTGAAGCCTTTATTGGATAGGCCGCAATTCCTGAGGGAGAGAACAAGCAGATTGTATTTAGAATTTAAAAAATGTACTATTCTGGAGTCTAAAAATGGAAACTAGGGTACAGGTATGCATAACAGATATTAGGCCTGTATACAGGACCAGTGCAAGGATTTCTGTCTACTCAGCAACGTTGCATATTGGTGCCCCCCCCCCCCCCCAACACTCCTCTTCCCTCTGCAATGCAACCCCCCACCTCCATAGGTGTCAGGAAACTAATACAGCTCATTCTTCCGCAACTAATGCTCATTTCCATGCAGCTAGCGGTCATGCACGTGTACCAGCACACAGATGGGCTCGGGCTAGTATCCAGCGTGCAATGACACCTATGCGCATAACTTTGTTCAAGTGTGCATGTCCATGTGCATTGGCACCAAGCTGCCTATTTAACCACTTCCCGTCCGGTCTATGTACATAAACGGCCAGACGGGAGCAGTGCCGGAGCGGGTTGACGTTTCTAAACGTCACCCACACAAACTGCCTGTGCACGCTCCCTGGGAGCGTGCGGCACCGCTATCCTGATCGCTGTACGGGACCTCTGTGTGAGGTCCCGATCATGTGATCACTGATTGGCCAATCAGTGATCACATGCAGAGTAGTAAGCAAGATGTCACATCCTGAAATCATTGCTTACTACTTGTGAAATCTGTGAATGATCACAGAGATCACATGGTACAGGGCTATTCACAACAGCCTTGTACCATGTGACAAGCTGTGACCAATCACAGCTCTCACAGTATTTCTCATTGGCTGCAGGAATGCAGCTAGAGAAAAGGAGAAATTATTGCTTTTACAGCCTTTATGGGTGTAAAAGCAATCAGTGTAAAAAAAAGAAAAAAAAAATCTTCATCACACCCCACAACTAATACAGTGACACTGTACTGCTAGGGTGATGGTATGTTAAAAAAAAATAAAAAAAATAAATAATAATACAAAAAATAAAATAAATGTAAAAAAAGTTTTAGAAAAATCATAACTTTTGGTTATAACTATTTTGGGTTATTTTTTTTTTACTAAAAAGATAGCTGAATGCATTTTGGGCCAAGATTTATGAAGGAAGATTATTTATTTGAAAAATGTTATAAGTAAAACTTTTCCCATATTTTTGGACTTTTTCATTTATATAGCATAAAAAAACAAGAATCCCAGCGGTGAATAAATACCACCAAAATAAAGTTTTATCTGTCTCAAAAAAATTCATACGTGTACAGTGTTGCATGACCGCGCAATTGCCTTTCAAAGTGTGACAGCGATGAAAGCTGAAAATTGGCCTGGGCAGGAAGGGGGTGAAAGTGTCCGGATTGGAAGGGGTGAAAGTGTCCGGGCTGGAAATGGGTGAAAGTGTCCGGACTGGAAGGGGGTGAAAATGTCAAGACTGGAAGGGGGTGAAAGTGTCCGGACTGGAAGGGGGTGAAAGTGTCCGGACTGGAAGGAGGGGAAAGTGTCCGGACTGGAAGGGGGTGAAAGTGTCCGGACTGGAAGGAGGGGAAAGTGTCCGGACTGGAAGGAGGGGGAAAGTGTCCGGACTGGAAGGGGGTGGAAGTGTCCGGACTGGAAGGGGGGGGAAGTGTCTGGACTGGAAGTGGGGAGAAAGTGTCCAGACTGGAAGGGGGGGGGGGGAGTGTCCGGCCTGGAAGTGGTTAAAGGACATCCGGCTGTGTGCTGATAACTGAATGTTCTTCAGCTCCCCCATATCCCCATTTCTGCTTTTGCTGACTGATCATCTGTTGCTGACCTGCCTGGTTCCTGACCTTGTTCTATGGATTCTAGATACTGACCTCAGCTTTCCTCTGACTGTTCTCTGTGTGCTTCGCCAACACTGACCTGGACCTGCTAGTGGATCTTGCTCTGCCTACTTCCCTGGTACTGACCTT